TGGAGAGTTCTGGTCAAGTCCCGTAAGGCCTGCACGCCACCAGGGATGTGGCTTTTTGAAGAGCCTCTTTTTCACAACACTGCCATCCAGTCCCGTGTTCTGGGTTCAGCTAGCCTACGTTCATGCCTGTTAGGCATGGGGTGTACTAAGCTGGGTCATCTGATGTGGAACAGGAATAGGTTGTTGGAGGAGCTGGGAGAAAGAGCGGGGATCCGATCGTCTCGCCTACTGAGGAAGGTCGTCGCTGAGGTCTGTGATTCCTTGCCAGTACTTCATCTGCAGTATGTGACTGACACTTCCAATTCTGATCGGTGGAAGGAGGGTCTGGATTATGTGTTCCCTGCACTGATTGTTAGTGCTGCGGCGGGGGCATTCGAGGAGGACGTGGGGATGCTGCTTTCCTTCGATACCCCGGAGCTGGGGGAGTTCAAGGAGGTGGGAAAGAAGGCCATGTACAGAATATGTGTAAAGGTGTCCCATGCCTCTTCCCTGGAAGGGGTAAAATCGACGAGGTGGGCGGGTGTGCTTGGTCCAGGTGCCTCCCCAAAAGGCTGTTGGCGAACATTATACAAACTGCCTATTGATAAGAGGACAGCTGACCTCCAATGGAGGATAATACATGGAGCCATAGCCACCAACATGTATCTGGTACACCTGGATCCTACTGTTGGGGAGGGGTGTCCATTCTGTGCTCAGTCTGAAACTCTGGCACATCTGTTTTTACAGTGTCCCAGGTTGGTCGGGATGATTGACCTGATCACAAATTGGTTCTCAGCTCTGGGAGAGGTTTTCTCTTCCCAACTGTATATATTTGGGCCAAAGTACAGGTTTAGTCAGAAATGTGTAGTTGTGTTGCTTAATTTTGTGTTAGGGGCAGCAAAATTAGCCATATGGAAGACCCGAAAGAACAGTATTCGGGGACAGGGGTCTGTGGATGTGGTGGGAATGCTGGAGGGAATGTTGGCAGCAAGACTAAGGGTTGAGTTTGCCTATTATAAACTTGTCAACAATATTGATCTGTTTATGAGTATATGGGGTATTCAGAGGCTGTTGTGTTCAGTTACTGTGGAGGAGGAATTGGAGTTGTGTTTTTAATTGATGTGTAAATACAGTTTTGTATGAGTATTTGTGTGGTGGGCTCCCAGACCCAATAAAAATCAAACTCTCTCTCTCTCTCTCTCTCTCTCTCTCTCTCTCTCTCTCTCTCTCTCTCTCTCTCTCTCATCTCTCTCTCTCTCCTCTCTCTCTCTCTCTCTCCTCTCTCCTCCTCTCTCTCCTCATCTCTCTTCTTCTCTCTCTCTCTCTCTCTTCTCTCTCTCTCCTCTCTCTCTCTCTCGCTCTCTCTCTCTCTCTCTCTCTCTCTCATATACAGGGCCAAATTTGGCTGTAGTTTAGAATGGAGAAACATGGCTAAAGATGGCTCATGAATAAACAGAAGTTCAAAAGCATCATGAGATGTGGGATGCCAATGTGAAGAGCCAGCTGACAGACGTTAGGAGAATAGGGGAGCAAAGAAGCGAGGTTAGAGAGAGAACAACAACATTGTTGGACGCCATAACAAGCAGGTCTGAGCTGAGATGATAATGCTAGCTGACGAATTAAGGATCTCAGTCACTTTGGTTGGCAAATATCAAAGGCACTTTTGTATTCTATGAATTGGGTAGATCATTTGGCTGACTTACAACAAGTTTTTTAGTAGCAGTTTCCTTATACAAAAGATATAGTTAAACAAAACAGCAGAACCAGCATTTGTGTAAATGCTTGTTCATTTTCTGTAATTACAGTGAGTAAGACTATGATACGTTTGTTAAATCACATAGATCTCCCTGGGGATTTTCAAGCAAACATTCCTTGATTAAACATAAATTCTGAATTTAAGTCATACTGTCCTGATAAACAAAACAACTCAAGTTGTGCTCGAGTTGAGTTCTGTCTCAATAGCTGCTCCTTTTCAATAAACCAACCTAGCACTGAGTCAGCAAAATCTACTATAAAGTACGGCCTGAGAACCCTTTCTCATATGACAGGAGACGATCGTGATCACAGTAAACAAATAATTCAAGTGTGAGTGTTTGACGGAGGACTATAACAATCTTGCCGAGCTTCTTGAGAAGCTGGGAGTAACCGAGAGCAGCCAAGAGCCCTATTTGTGCCCAGTAGCAAAGACAAACAGTTTCCCATCGACGTTTCAGGCCTCTAACAAATAGTAGATTAGTCTTCCCAGTCAATAGCCAGTCATGAGTAGACTTGCAGTGCCTTCCCTTATGTACTGTAAATAGAGAGAAAGCTACACTTTCAACAACCAATTATTCTTCAGCTTCCACAACTTTCACAGTGAGAGTAACCCTAGCTGGAGTTCCTTGCGGGGGGAGAAGATGGCAGGAGGGTAGGGAGTTACGGAGGGGGAGAGGGAAGGGGGAGAGGGGGAGAGGGGGCAGCTCTGACAGGAGTCTCTGACTGCTCCACCATCTGCTGCAGAAAGGGTGAAGGACACAGGTCAGGTTGTACAAATGTGCACACAGACACACACATTTAGTCATGCATGCAAACAGTACACGGACACATTGCACACGCATGCACGCACGCACACACACAAACACACAGACAACACAATCTCAGACGGATCATATCATTTAGTGACTAAGCAAATACTCTGCTTATCAGATTGATTAAAAGGGGAGGAAAGTTTCTCTCTAGGGTGGGCTGTTTAATAATGCCAGTATAATGAAGGCTGATTGTGTAGCTTGTTTATAGGAGCGCGTTAATTGCGTATCACGTTTAAAACATTAGACAAGATGGGAAATGAGAGGCATAATTTAACTCTTCAAACCAGAAGCACAACAGTGATTACCACCCCCCCCACCCTCCCCTCATTAAGAACAGATTTCCTCTATTATTACACCAAAACATCCCTCCATGCATGAATACTGAACATTGGGAAGAAGACATTGAACAGTGTGCAGAGTGCACTGAATTCACCTGTGAGATGTCAGATGAAATAATAGAACAGAGCCAAAGAGGCTTGACTTGAGTCTCATCCAGCTGTGACTTGAATTTCAAAAAGTAATATCTCTTTGAAGGCCAACTTGGACATAGGATAGATTTCAATACAGAAGCTGATATTAAAGGCAGACCATTGTCTCTGAGATGCTAAAGACAGTGGAGGGTACAGTGACCACAGTGACATAACATCTGCAGTGTGGACCCCCACCCTCCACAGCTTATCTGTCTGCAAACTTGGACATAGAGAGAGAGAGAAAGATAGGGAGAGAGAGAAAAAGAGAGAGAGAGAGAGAGAGAAAGAGCAAGAGCGAGAGAGGATGGAGAGGGATGGGGGAGGGAGGAAGGGAGGTAGACTGACAGAGAGAGAAACAGAAAGAGAGAGAGAAAACAAGAGGGGAGGAAGGTTCTCTGCTCAGTCTCCTCACCTGAATTTATGATCAGGAGTGAGCTGTGTGTGTATGTGACTCTGGGGGATGGCTAGCCCGCTTTGAGGTTCCAGTCAGGCAAGGTGCCAGGAAGGCTCTGTGGCGTCTCCCTCTCCCTCCCCGTCTCTATCAGTGATTCATCTCACAGCTCAGCTTGAGAACTTGCCTGTCCTGTCATCTCAGAACTGCTTTACATACATCTGAGGGAGAGTAGTGATGCGGTGTGGGGCGCTGGCAGCCCCAGCCCAGCCAGCCCAGCCAGGGCCTCCCACTCATGCAGAGAGATATCACAGGGGCTCACCTCGGCCTGCCAAGCCCGCCAGGCAGAAGGGGTCTCCAGGGGGGCGAGGCTGGAACTCCGCTGGTGTTCTCTACTCTTCCTTTCCTCTCCTCCTTTCTCTTCGCCTTCTCTCTCCTTTTTTCTCTCTTCTCCTCTCCTTTCATCCTCTCCTCTAATCTACTGACTGCTGGGGCCCTTCAGAATGCCTTCAAGTTAGTCCCCTGTAGCTCAGTTGGTAGAGCATGGCACTTGCAACGCCAGGGTTGTGGGTTCGTTTCCCACGGGGGGCCAGTATGAAAAATGTATGCACTCACTAACTGTAAGTCGCTCTGGATAAGAGCTAAATGACTAAAATGTGAATGTAAGTTAAAAGGTTAGTCTCCACATTGTTCTACTGTACCACTATGCCCTACGTGTGTAAATATGGTGGCATATAATCTATGTTGTTATTCCACTGCATATGAATTGTTCCACTGCAAATGAATTGATGAATAACATTAATTCATGAATAACATTTGCTCTGTGTGTTATTTGCCCTGAGAGACCTTAAGGCATCTACCTCTTTGCGCCAATGTGATGGGTGAATTTGTGAAATCAAGCGTTTACTATAAGGGGAAATGTAATATCATTGTATATTCAGGAAGTTGTTGCCGAAGCACAGCTGATTCTCCACGCCTTGAGACGTCGGCTTGACAACACTGACATTATTTCCTCAGGCCACAGGGCAATGAAATCACACAACACAGTGAGCATGTAGAATATGCTCCTATATGATTTGCAGTGAGCATATTGCTTTCTGCCTGCAGGTCCACCCGGGGCTATAAGATATAAGAACATGTAGCGATATCAATCTCTCTCATAAATAACCACCCATAACTTATGTATGCATGAACAAATCCACTAGCACAGAACATGATAAATAAATGAAATCTGAAAATAATGAGACTTACCCTACCACAGTAATAATAGCAAAACACAACCAAAACACAATACAACAACTCCGACCGATGTATCTAAATTATATCATTAAGCATTCCAACAATGGGACGCCTCTGTGGAATACATAGAAACAAGACAAACAAACACAATGACAATGAACGAGCGCAGTAGCGCAGACACATAGTCACACATTATGTTTTCTGTTCTCCACTAAATCTCCGGCTCGGGACAGAGCTGAGCCAATCATGCTTGTCACACCCATGTTTTCACGGGAGCAGCAACCTAGCAGCCATGTTGTAAAGTGACAGTCAGACCCAGAGCAGAGCAGGGCTGTCATGTTGTTGTCTACTCACTGGGGGGTCTAGGTCCTCTGCCTGTACCGTGGTGACCACGGTCCCCTTGACTGCGTTGGGAGCCACCATGCCCCTGTACAACGCCTGGCTGAACACTGGAGAGTAGTCATTCATATCCTGGAGAAGGAAGAGAGAAACACACCCATGTAATTAGTTAGTTTCTGAATCAACAGCTTTTTTAATGTAAAAGCCTGCTACTACTACTACTACTACTACTACTGCTACTACTACTACTACTACTACCATAATAAAGATACCCCTCACAGTAAATGCTTTCAGTTGTCAGAACTTTACATTTTTACATTTTAGTCATTTAGCAGACACTCTTATCCAGAACGACTTACAGTTAGTGAGTGCATACATTTTCATACTGGCCCCCCGTGGGAAACGAACCCACAACCCTGGCATTGCAAGCGCCATGCTCTACCAACTGACATTAACATGCTGTAGCCTCAGTGAGCTTGATTGAATTCAACATTATTGTGAATTAGTGAAGTAGCTAGCGCTATCACTGTCACTGCTGATGGACATGGCAAGCCATTTTCCTCTGCTCTTCCTTTGATTTCCTCTGAAGGACTGGATGCATTTACAGCTGTCAGCCTGGTCTAGAGAGGCTCACATTAACACTTAGGCAAAGCACTAAACCAAAATGGCAGATACTCAATAGCAGATCATGAGACTTCATTAAGACTGACGTGCGACAGAGGGACTGTTTTAACTTCAGGCCTGAGAGAGATCATTAGACCCTGTGTGTGAACCACAAAGGCGAAAGCTCTATATGAAGCTTAGCAAACCCCATAGTACTGGTAGAGGACATCAGTACTCTATTTCCCCAAAGAAGTGTTGTTTTCCAAAGACTGTGTCTGAAGACTGAAGAGGCCCAATAATGAGTGCTGCTGGATCAGACTACAAAACATGTGTTAGCCTACAATCTGTCCCCGGCTCCCTCCTGCTCACAGAATTTACACAGAAAAGTCCTTGATACAGCGCCTAGGCTTGTTAATAAAACTTAGTGGTTGTCTGTCTGTCTACACATAAAAAATATAGGGGTATTGAAGACAGCAGCTTTCATCAGTGTCCCCTTTTATATTTACACTTCTTCTGGACAGTGATTCCTCTGGCAGTCTGGCACAGATTACATAACACCCAGCAAACCGGGAACATTCCCAGAACATTAGCTAAGATTCCCATTAAGTTCTAGGTACGGTTTTATCTAACAATAGGATGATAACATCCCAAAAACATTCAAAGAATTCAAAGAATGTTTTTGATAACAAAATATATATTTTGGAATGCAGTAATCTATATCAATGTAGCACTAAATATAACATAAGGTAGAACAAAAAAATAAGAAATAGTGCACAACATTCACTAAGATGTTGTGCACAACAGCTGTAACAACCACCACAAAACATTCCCCCAAAATTCACATTAGGTTTCCAGGTAATGTAATAACACAATGTACCAGTAATGTTTTCCCAGAAAACCAAAATTGGTTCTGTGCAAGTCCCCAGAACATTCGTAAGGTTGTGGCAAATGTTCTCATAACAAAAAACTGTCCATACGTCCTGATGATTATCCAATATTTGTATAAAACATTTGCCTGATATTGCAAGAACATTCCCAGAACACATTGTCTGTTCTTTAAAGGGTCCCAGAATGTTTCATTAGGTAGTGGGAACAGTCTGCTGGGAACATTGTGGGGACATCACAAAAGATACAGTGCCTTGAGAAAGTATTCACAGTCCTTGACTTTTTCCACATTTTGTTGTGTTACAGCCTGAAATAAAAATTGATTAAATTGAGATTTTGTTTGTCACTGGAATCATGTTTTTCTAAATTCTTACAAATTAATAAAAAACAAAAGCTGAAATGTCTTGAGTCAATAAGTATTCAACCCTTTTGTTATGGCAAGCATACATAAGTTCAGGAGACTACCTCATCTCTGTACACCACACATACATTTAGCTGTAAGGTATTGAATATCCCTTTGAGCATGGTGAAGTTATTAGTTTCACTCTGGATGGTGTATCAATACACCCAGTCACTACAAAGATTCAGACGTCCTTCCTAACTCAGTTGCCGGAGAAGAAGGAAACCGCTCAGGGATTTCACCATGGAGTCAATGGTGACTTTAAAACTGTTACAGAGTTTAATGGCTGTGATAGGAGAAAACTGAGGATGAATCAACAACATTGTAGTTACTCCACAATACTAACCTAATTGATAGAGTGAAAAGAAGGAATCCTGGACAGAATAACAAATATTCCAAAACATGCATCCTGTTTGCAATAAGGCACTAAAGTAAAACTGCAAAAAATGTTGCAAAGTAATTAACTTTATGTCCTGAATACAAAGTGTTATGTTTGGGGCAAATCCAATACAATACATCACTGAGTACCACACATATTTTCAAGCATAGTGGTGGCTGCATCATGTTATGGGTATGGTTGTAATCGTTAAGGACTGGGGAGTTTTTCAGGGGGGAAAAAAATGAATGGAGCCAAGCACAGTGTCACACCCTGATCTATTTCACCTGTCTTTGTGCTTGTCTCCACCCCCCTCCAGGTGTCGCCCATCTTCCCCATTATCCCCAGTGCTTTATACCTGTGTTCTCTGTTTGTCTGTTGCCAGCTCGTTTTTGTCTTGTCAAGTCTTACCAGCGTGCTTTCCTGTTTTCCTGTTTCTCAAGTGTTTATTTCCTAGTTTTCCCGGTTCTGACCTGCCTGCCCTGACCCCATGCCTGCCTGCCGTCCTGTACCTGCCTGACTCTGACCTGATTACGAACCTCTGCCTGCCCTGACCCCGAGCCTGCCTGCCGTCCTGTACCTGCCTGACTCTGACCTGATTACGACCTCTGCCTGTCCTCGACCTGCCCTTTGCCTGCCTCGTGTTCTAATAAATTATTACTGAGAACTGTACAGTCCGCCTCCTGTCTCTGCATCTGAGTCATATCCTGAGTCGTGATAGTACGAACTGGCCATGACTGACCCAGCAGACTCAGACCAGCTCCACAATGCTGTCTCCCAGCAAGGAGCCATCATTGGAAGACACGAGGAGTTACTGCAATGCCTTACGGAGGGACTCCATACCCTGGCAGAACGCCATGACCAGGTGTTCGATACATTGCTGGAGCAATTCCACGGATTCCCTACTAGGCAGCGGGCCACACCAGTGATCCCCCAGACTCTCAGCAACCCCGCTTACCTCCTCTGGAGCGCTACGCTGGAGATTCTGGAACCTGCCGGGCATTTCTCTGCCAGTGCTCCCTCGTCTTCGAGCTGCAGCCTTCTTCTTTCCCCTCGGACCACTCAAAGATAGCGTACCTCATAACGCTGATGTCCAGGAGGGCACTCGCCTGGGCTACGGCGGTGTGGGAGCAACAGTCCGCCGTCTGCCTCAGTCTGGAGGAGTTTGTGGTGGAAGTACGGAAGGTGTTCGTTTCTCCGTTGTCCGGGAGAGAGGCTGCTCGTAAGCTGCTCCAGCTACGTCAAGACTCCCGTAGTGTGGCAGACTACGCAGTGGATTTTCGCACGTTGGCGGCTGAGAGTGCCTGGAACCCGGAAGCATTGTTCGACATGTTCCTTCACGGATTATCGGAGGTAATCACTGATGAGCTCGCAGCCCAGGAGCTGCCCATGGACCTCGACTCCCTCATAGCCTTGACCATCCGGATCGATGGGCGGTTACGAGAACGTAGGAGGGAGAGGGAATCTGTGCCCTGTCGCCCTTGATTCCCACCTCGCATCCGAGGAATCCCGGAAACCCCTGAAGTCTACATGTCCGAGTGAACCCGATGACAGCCGAGTTCTCTCGGGAATCACAGAGGGCTGCTGACTCACCTCCTTCGGAGCCCTTGCAACTGGGAAGGGCTAGATTGTCTCCTACTGAGCGCTTATGCAGACTTAACACCCAGAGCTGTCTATATTGTGGAGCTACAGGACATTTCGTAACTACCTGCCCATTAAAAACCCAGGATCTTCAAGTAGGTACGAGTACGCGGTTGAGCCGTATGGGGAGTTTCCCACCTTCCTTTGCTCGTACCCCTCTCCATGCTACCCCGCTGTGGGGTGACCGGTCCAAATCTCTCCGGGTGCTCATTGACTCTGGGGCCAACGAGAGCTTTATGGACGCTACCCTGGTGTCGGAGCTGGGTATCCCCACACAACCCCTCTCCATTCCTATGGACATCAGAGCGTTGGATGGGCGCTCTATTGGCAGAGTCACCCACACTACGTTTCCCATTGACCTGAGAGTGTCGGGTGATCACAGTGAGAGTATGCAGTTCCTGCCCATTGAATCCCCTCATGCACCCGTGGTTTTGGGGCTCTCCTGGCTCCAGAGGCACAATCCTCTAATCGATTGGGCTACTGGTTCTATCCTAGGTTGGAGCCCGTTATGCCATGTGCATTGCTTGAAGTCGGCGCTGCCTGCCCCGGGACGTCTTCCTGCGGGCTTGGGAAAAGCCCCGGACCTCTCTGCCGTTCCCGCGGAATACCAGGACCTCTGGGAGGTTTTCAGCAAGGCCTGTGCCACCTCGCTTCCTCCGCGTCGGCCCTATGACCACGCCATTGACCTTTTCCCGGGCACTACAACTCCTCGGGGGCGACTTTATTCCCTGGCTGGTCCCAAGACCAAAGCGATTGAAGGGTATATTGAGGACTCTCTCACTGCTGGGTTTACGCGTCCCTCTCCACCCGCCGGCGCAAGGTTCTTCTTTGTGGAGAAGAAGGACAAGACCCTGCGTCCGTGTATCGACTACCGGGGTCTCAATGACATTCCCGCTACCACTCATCTCCTCAGCTTTCGAGCCTCTCCAGGGGGAGACCATCTTCCTGTTCAAGTGAGCACAACACAACAAGGTGCGTCGAAAAATGTATTGTATGCTATGTATTAATGATGTAATATGCCAGGGAGATATGTATACTGTAGCTAAGAAATTAATACTAAGTATGATGTGTAGTAAGCTGTTAGTAGCTCATGTGCCTCATCCTAATAATTTGGTCCCTTTCCCCCTCATATCTTAGCCTACTGTTCTGACTTGGTGGTGAACATGTAGCCTATAGCCTGTTTTAGAGAAATGTAATTATCAAATATTGTAAGAGCTTTCATTGTCTGCTTATATGCCCCCTTTATTTATCCTACGGTTCTGACTTGGTGTACAGGGAGAATACTGTAAGAATGGCCCATGTTCTGAATTCTGTCGCTGTACATTTCAAAAGTGCTGAACAAATAGCTATATTGACTACGCCCATCCTAGCTCGCTCATTAATGTCTTAATCAAAATTACGGATTGTCTCTTGTCCGCTCGTCATACCCTTATGCCATAGTTTGTACATCTCAATTGTCAGTAGAAACCACATTTGTTTAAGCAAGTCAGCCATGTTTTTTTTTTAAGGCAGTAAATGAGGCTGAATTAACTGTTTCGCGTCCAGACAAGGCTCTGCTTATAGCCAGGTGTAGCAGTGGTAAGGATTCAGTGGTAAAGGGTAAGGATTCTAATGTCCATTGCTCGTGTTTCTTGGCCCAAGTAAGTCTCTTCTTCTTATTGGTGTCCTTTCCTTTAGTAGTGGTTTCTTTGCAGCAATTCGACCATGAAGGCCTGATTCACACAGTCTCCTCTGAACAGTTGATGTTGAAATGTGTCTGTTACTTGAACTCTGTGAAGCATTTATTTGGGCTGCGATTTCTGAGGCTGGTAACTCTAATGAACTTATCCTCTGCAGCAGAGGTAACTCTGGGTCTTCCTTTCCTGTGGCGGTCCTCATGAGAGCCCGTTTCATCATAGCGCTTGATGGTTTTTGCGACTGCACTTGAAGAAACTTTCAAAGTTCTTGAAATTTTCCGGATGGACTGACCTTCATGTCTTAATGTAATGATGGACTGTCATTTCTCTTTGCTTATTTGAGCTGTTCTTGCCATCATTTTACCAAATAGGGCTATCTTCTGTATACCACCCCTACCTTGTCACAACACAACTGATTGGCTCAAACGCATTAAGAAGCAAAGAAATTCCACAAATTAACTTTTAACAAGGCACACCTGTCAATTGAAATGCATTCCAAGTGACTACCTCATGAAGCTGGTTGAGAGAATGCCAAGAGTGTGCAAAGCTGTCATCAAGGCAAACAGTGGCTACTTTGAAGAATCTCAAATATAAAATATATTTTGATTTGTTTAACACTTTTTTGGTTACTACATGATTCCATATGTGTTATTTCATAGTTTTGATGTCTTCAATATTATTCTACAATGTAGAAAATTGTAAAAAGTAAGAAAAACCCTTGAATGAGTAGGTGTGTCCAAACTTTTGACTGGTACTGTACATACAAACGCACTGTATATATACACATACATACATACATACATACATACATACATACATACATACATACATACATACATACATACATACATACATACATACATAACATATTCAGATAAATAAATACAGAAAAATGAAACAGAAGGCATTTGAACCCAGTCTGTCACAAAGCCTATACACAATCTATATACACACGTACCATTTACCACATAGAAGCTAAATATTTGTATATATTAATTATAGGTAGCCCTTTTCCTTTTATTCCAGGCTTGATCTAAATATTCCGCAAACGGAAATACACAATTGACAAAAAAACATTTCAGTTTCTCCTCATCGCTCAGCCACATAATGCCAGGGTATATCTGGTGTGCTTTCTGGAATAACAGCAAGCGTATATCGTGGTAGAAAGGGCAATAGAGGATCAAATGAGTTTCATTCTCTATTTCTTCGAGGTCACAATAGTTACATAGTCTTTCCTCTTCCATTTCACCACAATACCGACCTGTTTCAATACGCAATATCCCTAATCTTACCTGTGCACATAGCGATCTCTTGCTTTTAGGTAGGTTATACATAATATATCTTTCACACACAAATTCACCCTTAATCAAACAAAAGGTTCTCAATTTGGGTTTATGATTAATCTATGGATAGGTCTATGGATAGGTCCCATTAAATAACTTTACTAGCTATTCTGGCAGTTGGCATATCCAAGTCTATTCCAAAATCTCACCATACACGCCTTCCATGTCACCTCACAGGGTTCCCAGCCCATGTCCCCAGTTATTGCAAGTATAGGTGCAAACTTGTGGACACCTAAAAAGTAACATACTGCTCTGTTATGGAAATGTTTGTTTTTGAGATACCTCTTAAAATACAGCCAAATACAGCCACCATTGGCCTCATGGTGAAATCCCTGAGCGGTTTCCTTCCTCTACGGCAACTGAGTTTTGAAGTTACGCCTGTATCTTTGTAGTGACTGGCTGTATTGATACACCATCCAAAGTGTAATTAATAACTTCACCATGCAATGTCTGCTTCTTTTTTTTTTTTTTTTCATATCTACTAATAGGTGCCCTTCTTTGTGAGGCATTGGAAAACCTCCCTGGTCTTTGTGGTTGAATCTGTGTTTGAAATTCACTGCTCGACTGAGGGACCTTACAGATAATTGTATGTGTGGGGTACAGAGATGAGGTATTCATTCAAAATGTGATGTTAAACACTATTATTGCACACAGAGTGAGTCCATGGAACTTATTATGTGACTTGTTGAGCACATATTTACTCCTGAACTTATTTAGGCTTGCCATAACAAAGGGGTTGAATACTTATTGACTCAAGACATTTCATATTTTTTTTATTTTCAATTCGTTTGTAAACAATTCTAAAAACATAATTCCACTTTGACATTATGGGGTATTGTGTGTAGGCCAGTGACACCAAATTTCAATTGAATACATTTAAAATTCGGGCTGTAACACCAAAATGTGGAAAAAGTCAAGGGGTTTGAATACTTTCTGAAGGCACTGTAGCAGCTAGAGCTAAATAATTCTACTCAAGGACACTGACTGAGTACTACAGTCTCGTTTAAGTGCTGTGTAATACCATATCACGAGCCTGATCTCTTATAGTGCCTACTGTCCTACTGGTCTAGGAGCGTCAATGGCAGGCTAATCTCCATAACGCTTGTGTCTGGTGCTTATTCTTCTGAAACATAATACATCAGATGGCCACAATACTGACAAAATAGAGCCCTCGCAAACCTAATGATCATCCAGACATAAAATAAATGAGAGGTAGCTGAGGATCATTCATCTCTTTTAATCTCCGTGGTGGTGAGAATGGCTAGTGGTTTTAGACCAGAGAGAGAGAGCAAGAGAGAGAGAGAAGAGAAGAGAGAGAAGAGAGAAGAGAGAGAAGAGAGAAGAGAGAGAAGAGAGAGAGAAGAAGAGAGAGGAGAGAGAGAAGAGAGAGAGGAGAGAGAAGAGAGAGATGATGGGAGAGAGAGAGAGAGAGAGAGAGGAGAGAGAGAGAGAGAAGCCATGTATTTATGAAATGAGATTCACAGGTCTTCTGCTATGCTTCTGCATTTTTCCTTTAGAATGATGTAGTTGGCTTGTGAGTGATAAACAGCCTGGTGGCCTAACTGATGGGTCTCTGTTATGGAGGGGGCAGAGGGAAGGTACAGTAGTTTCCTTACCGTTATCTTTACAGTGACAGTGGCCATGCCTGGGGGCATGCTCCCTCCACTGTGGGCTTCCACCATGAAGGTGTAGGTGTGGTCCGAGGCTGCCAGGGTCTCAAAGTCCAGCGTCTGCAGCACAGAGAGCTCTCCAGTCACTGGGTTGACATCAAACAGTTGCTTGGCCTCCGGGGTCCGGATACGGAAGGTGATGTTGGAGTCCAGGTCAGCATCTTTGGCCTGGAGGAGAGGAAGAGGAGGAGGAGGAGGAGGAGGAGGAGGAAGGAGTACTGTGGGTAAGAAATGGTTTTAGTGGATCTCTGGTCTATGGGACTTGATATAAAGTAACTTTTACTGTAGTTATAAATAAGTATATGTAAGAAACAGTTGGCTATTTGCTAAGAACACAACAGCCAGAAAATTATACAACGTTACAGCATGAATCTTAAGTCCCTTATTCAATAGGCAATAATAAAAACAAAAGAACCAAGCAATTCTAGTTTCTGGCGTTAGTCAAATCACAGTGACCAGCAGTAATAACTACTCAAATCCATTGTCAGGAGAGAGAGAAAGATCACTATTAGTGACCTCTCTCCTGACTATGGATTCACCTCTGCGTCTGTGTGGATTGTGTTTATAGTCCTTTCAAGTGGAGGTGTGTGTGTGTGTGTTCACATGGAGTGTGTAGGGGGAAGAATAGCTGTGGGCCTACACACAGATAACCCCCCTACCGTGCTAGCTCAGCCATTAGTGGCTCCACTAATCTGCCTAAAATATCAGCCTATCAGCAGGCTCGGTGTGGCATGGGGATCGACAGGGGGCCACGGTGATGAGAGGTTTGTCACTGCTAGGGGATCAGTGCACTAGGACCAGACAGACACTGTCACTGTCACGTAAACTGTCAATCAACCAACCCAACCTGAAAATGTCCATGATTAGCCTCACACAACGAGACGTGACTGGTCTCCTCAAAAATGTATTCTCTGGGCTGACCAACAACAAATAACCACGAAATGACTCAACTTTTGGATCAAAGAAGAAGCAGGTTCTAGAAAAACACAAATAACCACAATTCTAGTAGCATGTTCTTGAACAACGCAAATAACCACAATTCTAGAAGCATGTTCTTGAAAAACACAAATAACCACAATTCTAGAAGCATGTTCTTGAAAAGCGCAAATAACCACAATTCTAGAAGCATGTTCTTGAAAAGCGCAAATAACCACAATTCTAAAGTCAGGTTCTTGGAAAACAAGCAGGTTTCCAATTAACATAATTTAACCTCAGAGAATAATGAGGGTAAAATTGGGGTAAAAAAAGTTCCTGTTTGACCTTTCCTGAGTGCACTTGACAGAATAGCGGGCCATGTAAAAATGTCCATGTCTGAGGTTTTGATATCCTCTGTCAATATGCTCTAGGCTATCAATATGCCTCCTGACCTTGTGTGCTTTGATGTACTAGAGGATGCATTCGGAGTAGTAAATATACCACTGCCTTGTGGCTCCTGAGTGTGCATGGAGCCGTGCACTCTTGGACACACACATTTGTACACACGCACAGGCAGGCAAGCACACATATGCACATACAGTGAGGGAAAAAAGTATTTGATCCCCTGCTGATTTTGTACGTTTGCCCACTGACAAAGACATGATCAGTCAATAATTTTAATGGTAGGTTTATTTGAACAGTGAGAGACAGAATAACAATAAACAAATCAATTTATAACATTTTTGACATGCGTTTTTCTGGATTTTTTTGGGGTTATTCTGTCTCTCACTGTTCAAATAAACATACCATTAAAATTATAGCCTGATCATGTCTTTGTCAGTGGGCAAACGTACAAAATCAGCAGGGGATCAAATACTTTTTTCCCTCACTGTACATCATACACAAGCACACACACACACAAACTCACGGTAAGCTGCAGGATGACTGTCTTCTTAGGACTATTCTCCGGCAGATTGACCGTATAGGATAGTTGTGAGAACACCGGACTGTTATCATCCACATCCAGCACGGTCACCGACAGAGTCAGTGTGGTCCTCCTGGGGTCCTCCACCGCTCCGTCCTCCGCCTCCACAATGAGGTCATACTGACCCCTGACCTCTCGGTCCAGAGGCACGGCGGTGGAGATGGTGCCATTGGAGTTGACCCTGAAGAGGTTGGCGTGGTTGACCAGTCGGTAGCGCACCTGGCCATTAACCCCCGCGTCTGGATCTGTGGCCTGAGTGGATGGATGGATGGAAGGAGGGAGACACAGGGGGGTTAGACCCTCCATATGGCAGGCATCATGCATACATTAATAGGGAGGAACTCTCACACACACATGCAGACATACACAACACACACAAGCACAAAGGTAAGCACACACACACACCCTCCCTCTCCACACACACACACACGATGAGACACCTGTTTCAACAGCAGGGAGAGAGCAGTACACAGATCACAAGTTGACAGCCTTACACAGGTACACAGTGTTACAGTTTAACCATCTCTTCAAACAACCTGTTATGTCCTCTCTGTAATGCAAATGGAGGATTTGTTTGTAGCGCAAGTTAAGCAGTTCTGTCTGTATATTGTAGGGATTGTACTGTCTCCATACAGCATTAATTCTTCCATTTTACTCAGGATTTGTTAGAGGTTGAGGACAGTGGTTTTCCAACCCACTCTAATGAGCTAATGGAACATTTAGCTCATGATGAAACTATGTTGTGTGTTCAGAATTGTCCAATGCTGTTCCATTGTAGTATATCCTGCATCTATGTTCTGTTACTGTAGTATAGGCCTACGCTGCACGTATCTCTGCATTTGTTGCTAGAAGTGTTTCATTACCACCTGTACCCAGGTCCTGTGCTCTGCTCTACCCTGATAGCTCTCTTATCTGAGAGACTGGCTCTGATCACAGAGGTTCCCTGCATTAATCATCAAGGTGGTAATAGGGAAGCTGACTCTGCACCCATTGACTCTAGACATGAAGGTGGGATCACACAGAATTATCATATTATCACTCTGAGGGGAGGACTTCGTAGGAACACGACACCATGAGCCCATTGCACAGAGGAGGATAGTAATTTAACATCTCACCTCCAGATTGAGAGCTAAAAGTAATAGAAAAATGGAAAGATACAAAATTATATTTATTCTACTAAAAGGCAAGTGATTATTGACTTTGGAGGGTGTAAAGGGAGAGTGGACACAAAAGGTTTCTTTCAGAGACATTGTTGGAGTGGTACAGAACATTTATTTTCAATCGGAGAATGAAATACTTTGAGGAAATGTAAATTAGTCAGACTTTGTGGAGATAATGAGACAGGATCGGTTTAAAATGTTCATACAAATAAAAATGGAGATTGCCTTCACTCAAAGCATATTGCAATGCGGCAATTTAAAAAAAAAACAATACAGAAATGCTGCTCCTGCTGTTGATGTGTACGGAATATAACATCCGGCAGGAGATCGATAAGATACCATGAGAATAGTAAATAACATGTTGACTTGACTGAAGTCTGAAAGCCCAATCGTCAAGCCAAAATAATGAAGATACAGTGGGGAAAAAAAGTATTTAGTCAGCCACCAATTGTGCAAGTTCTCCCACTTAAAAAGATGAGAGAGGCCTGTAATTTTCATCATAGGTACACGTCAACTATGACAGACAAAATGAGAAAAATTAATCCAGAAAATCACATTGTAGGATTTTTATGAATTTATTTGCAAATGATGGTGGAAAATAAGTATTTGGTCAATAACAAAAGTTTCTCAATACTTTGTTATATACCCTTTGTTGGCAATGACACAGGTCAAACGTTTTCTGTAAGTCTTCACAAGGTTTTCACACACTGTTGCTGGTATTTTGGCCCATTCCTCCATGCAGATCTCCTCTAGAGCAGTGATGTTTTGGGGCTGTTGCTGGGCAACACGGAATTTCAACTCCCTCCAAAGATGTTCTATGGGGTTGAGATCTGGAGACTGGCTAGGCCACTCCAGGACCTTGAAATGCTTCTTACGAAGCCACTCCTTCGTTGCCCGGGCGGTGTGTTTGGGATCATTGTCATGCTGAAAGACCCAGCCACGTTTCATCTTCAATGCCCTTGCTGATGGAAGGAGGTTTTCACTCAAAATCTCACGATACATGGCCCCATTCATTCTTTCCTTTACACGGATCAGTCGTCCTGGTCCCTTTGCAGACAAACAGCCCCAAAGCATGATGTTTCCACCCCCATGCTTCACAGTAGGTATGGTGTTCTTTGGATGCAACTCAGAATTCTTTGTCCTCCAAACACGACGAGTTGAGTTTTTACCAAAAAGTTCTATTTTGGTTTCATCTGACCATATGACATTCTCCCAATCCTCTTCTGGATCATCCAAATGCACTCTAGCAAACTTCAGACGGGCCTGGACATGTACTGGCTTAAGCAGGGGGACACGTCTGGCACTGCAGGATTTGAGTCCATGGCGGCGTAGTGTGTTACTGATGGTAGGTTTTGTTACTTTGGTCCTAGCTCTCTGTAGGTCATTCACTAGGTCCCCCCGTGTGGTTCTGGGATTTTTGCTCACCGTTCTTGTGATCATTTTGACCCCACGGGGTGAGATCTTGCGTGGAGCCCCAGATCGAGGGAGATTATCAGTGGTCTTGTATGTCTTCCATTTCCTAATAATAATTCCCACAGTTGATTTCTTCAAACCAAGCTGCTTACCTATTGCAGATTCAGTCTTCCCAGCCTGGTGCAGGTCTACAATTTTGTTTCTGGTGTCCTTTGACAGCTCTTTGGTCTTGGCCATAGTGGAGTTTGGAGTGTGACTGTTTGAGGTTGTGGACAGGTGTCTTTTATACTGATAACAAGTTCAAACAGGTGCCATTAATACAGGTAACGAGTGGAGGATAGAGGAGCCTCTTAAAGAAGAAGTTACAGGTCTGTGAGAGCCAGAAATCTTGCTTGTTTGTAGGTGACCAAATACTTATTTTCCACCATAATTTGCAAATAAATTCATAAAAAATCCTACAATGTGACTTTCTGGATTTTTTTTCCTCAATTTGTCTGTCATAGTTGACGTGTACCTATGATGAAAATTACAGGCCTCTCTCATCTTTTTAAGTGGGAGAACTTGCACAATTGGTGGCTGACTAAATACTTTTTTCCCCCACTGTAACTACCCAGTCAGTGATGGCATGAGTTCAATACATTTCTATCAGCTGTTAAAGCAACCAGGACCTGGTTTTGAAAGCATTAATTTTCTCAGCAATCAATGAAAGGTTGACTTTGGGCAAAACCGCAAAAGAACGGCTTTAAACTGTATAACTGATCAATGCATCATCATACCAGGTCATTTAATGCTTTTGAAATGTTTTATAATGGATAAACAAGATATTTGGCTACAGAAGTGTCATTTCTTACTGATCTCTACAGCTTCCGTCCAAAAACAAATCCTGTGAAATGACGTCAACACTACTAGTGGCTAGCTTAGCTAATGAACCAGAATGACACATCGATGAAGCACCAAATGCACACCCCAATTCTGTTCGGAAATTGAGAAAGAGGAGGAGTTGGACAATTTTTATTTCCCAAAGTCGACCTTTAAAAGTTAATTACAGATGTAGGATCTTAATTTGATCACCCTGTTGCAGGATAACTTTTCTGCAATGCAGGAAATACAAAACATTGTAGTGCATTTAAAATTTCAGACTTGATTTTCCCTTACGGAAAATGTATCATCCCCTACAAACATTTCCATTAATTATAATCCACATAATATTTAACATTTCCTGATGCTGCAGGATTATTTTCCTGCTGTAGCAAACTGGCTGAAATTAAGATTCTACATCTGTAAAACCTGTATCTAAGAGACTCAGAGATACAGTGGGGAGAACAAGTATTTGATACACTGCCGATTTTGCAGGTTTTCCTACTTACAAAGCATGTAGAGGTCTGTAATTTTTATCATAGGTACACTTCAACTGTGAGAGACGGAATCTAAAACAGAAATCCAGAAAATCACATTGTATGATTTTTAAGTAATTCATTTGCATTTTATTGCATGACATAAGTATTTGATACATCAGAAAAGCAGAACTTAATATTTGGTAAAGAAACCTTTGTTTGCAATTACAGAGATCATACGTTTCCTGTAGGTCTTGACCACGTTTGCACACACTGCAGCAGGGATTTTGGCCCACTCCTCCATACCTTCTCCAGATCCTTCAGTTTTGGGGCTGTCGCTGGGCAATACGGACTTTCAGCTCCCTTCAAAGATTTTCCATTGGGTACAGGTCTGGAGACTGGCTAGGCCACTCCAGGACCTTGAGATGCCTCTTACAGAGCCACTCCTTGGTTGCCCTGGCTGTGTGTTTCGGGTAGTTGTCATGCTGGAAGCCCCAGCCACGACCCATCTTCAATGCTCTTACTGAGGGAAGGAGGTTGTTGGCCAAGATCTCGCGATAAATGGCCCCATCCATCCTATTTTTTTTTTTTTGTAAGTATAAAAATGCGCTGCAATTTTTCAATAAAATAAACTGCTGTTCCAATTGCGTCCACTGGATGGCGCAATAGCAATTGTGTTAAGCAAGCAAACTGTTTTTACCGGGGCAGAGCAAGTAGGTCAAGCACGTGCAGCCAATGAGCTACTTTGTTTTGCCCGCGATATTTATTACGGCTTCTACTTTTAACATTATGTGCTTTGGCACCCTCATTGCCCCAATATGTCTCTGTCAAAAAAGAGAAAAGTGGACGCAGAGTGCAGAGTGTTCCAAGAAAAATGGTCATCCTATTTATTCACGGAATTGAATGGGAAAGCTGTATGTTTGGTGTGTTCAGAGCATGTTGCAGTGCTGAAAGAATATAACCTTCGTCGCCACTATGTGAGTCTTCATGCCGACAAATATGACAACTTTCAAGGACAGCGGAGATGAGAGAAGGTGAATGAACTGTTGGCGGGTCTGAAGAAACAGCAGTCTGTGTTTACTCACAGCCGAGACATCAGTGATGCTGCAGTGAAAGCTAGCTACCTCATTGCTAATGAAATCGCAGTGGCTTCAAAACCATTTAGTGAGGGTGAATTTGTAAAAACATGCATGATGAAGGCAGCGGAGATTGTGTTCCCTGAAAAGCGGCAGGCTTTTGCAAATATCAGCCTGACAAGAAACACAGTTGCAGACAGGATTTCCGATCTTTCAGTGGATTTGGACAGCCAGTTGAAGCAAAAAGTAAAGTCATTTATTGCGTTTTC